ACGAACAAGATAGTGGGAATATAAACAATAAGCAATAGACAAAAGCGATATAACATATGAACACAAAAATAAGTGCGTCAATGCAATCACAAACAAACGATATGATCACGGAGTTTGGTCCCTACGTCTCCGTTTCTCACCTCGAGGAGATCTTTACTATTACAACCGAGTTTTTTACGCTCACCCGAATAACGTTTACACCTCACACTCGGTTTTCTAGTTCACCGAAAACTTTACAATCTCTCACAATGTAACTACACTAACTATCACCTCAAGTGTTGGTCTCTAGCCCGTGTCTTCCTTAAGTGTTAGGAATTACAGCCTCTCTCTAGGCATTATCACCTACCTCACTCCTCTTGGTACGATCCCGTCTCTCACCACACACTCCTCTTGGTGTACTAGTGTAATACAAAGTGAACCTCACAATTAAGCACGAATACAATAAAGTTTGTTCTCTACAAAGGATGAGAACTCTATGTAAGCTCACACTCAGTCACAAACCCATAACCTAAATTATACTATGAAAATACAATAAGCTTAATGGTTGTGTGTGAACAAAGAGATTCAAAAAAAACAATTAAACTTAATATGAAATCTAGCTTACGAAATTAAGATCAAACATATAAAATGCTAGAATTGAGTTTAAGAAAAACTTCTCTATAGATCAAGAGAGAGAAGAGTTGGATGCTCAAACACAATTGATGATCTTCCTCAAGCTCTTGTGAAAATTGTTTCACAAACGAAACTCTTAAACACTCTTTTAAACAAACACAAAACACCCTTATAGTTATTTTAAACAATTCTCTTGGTTATTTAAAACTGAGGATATATAGGGATATTTATAGGAACCCTAAAACCAAGAGAAAATAAGACAAAAAGATCAAAAAAGCAAAACTGTAACATGCTGGAAAAAACTAGCCGTTACAGCATCAGTCAACTGACGGCTTTCATCAGTCGACTGATGAGCTGACCGTTAGAGGCATTTTTCAGCTCATCAGTCGACTGACGATATTTATCAGTCGACTGATGGATCATCAATCGACTGGTCAGTCGACCAAAATAAAACAGAAACTTTTTATTGATTCCAGACATATTCTTCAGTCGACCAAAATAAAACAGAAACTTTTTATTGATTCCAGACATATTCTTCAGTCGACACATCAGTCGACTAATGTCATCAGTCGACTTACCAGTCGACTGATAACAGGTTATCAGCCTGAATTAAATAGTAAAACTAATTTTTAAAGTGCCTTTAAAAATAGCAAGTAAATTCAAAAAAATGTAAAACTTTGGGAAATCATTGTAAACATGTAAATGAACATGTTACAAATTTTTTTTTTTGGAATTGCACTTCTCAATAGTAAAATCTTATCATTTTTCAAAACTAGTCCAAAACATGAAAATACAAAACACATGTTTTTGATATTTTGGCTAAATCATGTTTTAAAACTTTACAAAATGATTTTATAGACTTAATAAAAGATGTATACAGTGAATGTTAAGTCTATAAACAATAATACATTATTTTCACAAAATATATATATAATACAAAATACATTTGTTTTTCCAAAAACAATAGAATATGAAACATGTGAAAATGTATAAGAATATAACTATTGTTTCATTCATGTTTTGAAACTTTACAAAATGATTTTATAGACTTAATAAAAGATGTATACAATGAATGTTAAGTCTATAAACAATAATACATTATTTTCACAAAAATGTATATATAATACAAAATACATTTGTTTTTCCAAAAACAATAGAATATAAAACATGTGAAAGTGTATAAGAATATAACTATTGTTTCATATCTATAAAGCTAAACCAAAACAAAACAATAAATATGAAAACAAACATGTATACATATATATATGTATTTGTTTCATATTTAAACCTGAAAACTTATAAAACCAAAACATGTGTATATATATGACTATATATATAACAACCAAATATGTGTGTGTGTGTGTGTGTGTGTGTGAGCTTAAAGTATCTACACACAAGTATAAACCTAAAAACTAAATTACCCAAGCTTGATAGATCTTCATTGTAGCTCAACTTGGTACACTTTGCGGATGAAGCTTGAACTTGGATCTTCAACATGAATTACATTGCTTCATACCACAATTCCGCCAATCTTCATTGGATATGATCGTGAAAGCTCGATTCCATTCATTCTCCAACATATTGTTTGCCTAGATACAAAACAAAAATACTAGATAAATAACATTAGATGTAAATTGCTTATAAACCATCATCAAAACAAAAGGACCCAACAGACTCGTTGGCGGCAAGGGGGCTGCGAGATGCATCGGCGACAAGGGGGTTGCGAGATCGACAGCGATGTTGACGGCGACATGTACGTGTGTGTATGATTGAGCTTAAAGTACTAACACATATAATATAAAAACCTAAACTAAATATACCCAAGCTTGATCTTGATCTTCAATAAGCTCTTCTTGGTAAACTTACGGATGAAGCTTGAACTTGTATTTTTAACTTGAATTGTATTGTTTTACTCTACTATTCCGCCAACCTCCATTGGATATGATCGTGAATGCTCTATTCTATCCATTCTCCAACATATTGTTTGCCTAGAATAAATACAAAAACAAAAACACTAAATAAACAACATTAATAGTAAAGTGTTTGTTAAACATCATCAAAACAAAAAGACCAACATAACTATCTTGTGGGTGGTGGTGTTGGTGGTATTGACAATTTTCGGAGAAAGTTACCTACTCTATAGTACACTTAAAAAATAAATTCTATTTTATTGGAGAGCTAAGGGTGAACTGGATTTTGATTTTGATTGGTGAATTGTGAAAATTAAGTTTTGTGGTCACATCTCATTGAGGAAAACTAAAGGTTTAAATATCGGATATTGGGGAAATATCTAACGACCAAAATTCATTCTGGATTGCAGATATCAGGAAAATATCGGGGATATGCAGTATATATTGGAGTGCTACATTGGTTGATATGCATATATAATATAATTTTTTAAAATGTAATCTACACATACTTCATGAAATCAAAGCATACATAATATATGTTTAGGACCACTAATCAACCTTATAAAAATATAAAAGTACAAGCTCATGTTGCAACATTTTAGCCTTTTTTAGGTCGAAGTGTCACTGATATATTGGAAAAATCATGATATGTCGCCTATAATTTGCCAAAAGCAGTATATTTATTTTGCGATAAGCCATATAAGAGGACATATCACCTAACGTACTTGTTGATTTATCGACCATGTCCGGGATATATCGCCAAAAATTGCTAAATAGTGGTTAAGGATATATCGGCCGATATATTAGGCGATGTTTGGGATATTTAAAATAACGAGAAAATTAGATTTGAAATTTGTGTTTATGCTAAGGGCATCTGAGCATGCATGTGGAATGTTGGTTTTATTTTTATTTTTATTTTTACTTATTTATTTATTTTATTTTTTTGGGGGGGGGTGGTCTTAGAAGAAGCATGCTTGTGGAATTTTGTTAAACACTGTTTTAACAAAATAAAAATTCACCAATCCATGCTTTGTAAATTTATACTTTTGAGCACCTTCTAAACAATTAATACAATTACGGATCAGCCAAAATGTAGACTACGCACAATGCCTTCACACGGACACCTTTCGAGAAATTTAATTTGTATAAATGAGCAAGACGTCCATAGGGAGGACACAGTGAGTAAAACTTCTTGCAATTTGTTAGTAAAGAAAATGATAATTAAGCTCATTAGCATTATTGGTTACTACCGAATGCAGGTATTGTTGTCTCTTAATCGGGGCGTTTCTTGGACTAGATTTGGCATATCAGCAGCAAGGCCTATCCAGGCTCATGCTATTGTTCAGCTTGGGTTAGTAGTTTTGGACATGCAATCGACCCTTGGCCTCACTAATATCAAACAGCTTTGATATTTATTTTGGTCCTGTTCTTTTTGCATCTACTCCACTGTATAGATTGGTGTTGTCGAAATATTGGGACGTTTGCAGTAACTCACTGCAGTATTCTTTCGCTAAGTTTATAGTGTGATATTACAGTCTGGTTACTGGAGGTAATTTTAACAGAATATTCATGGTGTACTTTTTATTATGATCGGATGACTACCTTGTTCAAAAGCTTAAGCTCATGTACTGTCACTAAAAATGTATAACAACCAGGTGGAAACCTAAACACTATGCTTCAATTTGGCCTATGAGCCATGTTAAATTAGACAGTCTCCAACATAGTCATTTTACATGTTTGGAAATGCAGAATAACACAGATAAATATATTATCTTAAATCAATAAATGTCTTTTAAATCATCAAGGGCATTTGAACCCAAGGGCCAAGACCCCTTGAAATTCAGTGCTTTGTACTAATGTTAGAGAATCACTGTTATCCATATGCTTAAGTTTGGGTTGTGGTCTGATAATGTATATACAAGCAAATTTAACACTTAAAAGTTACGAAACTAAGCTAGTTTAGATTTTTTTTTTCATTTCCTTGAGTCAGGCTTTCTTTATCTCATGCAGTTCCAGAAGATGTCATTAAAATATTTTGTTTTATGTATTCACAGAATATTCATAAGAAAGCTTCTGGATAACCTTTAGGGATTCAAGTTGCTAATGTAGTTGCATTTTTAGTTGTCTTGCCTTGTTATAACTACATTTATTGTTTGAGAAACAACAGTATCCAGCTCTTTTAATCTAGCGATGAGTTGCCTTCCCATGGTTTGAGCATAGATGTTGATGTTGAAAGATTTGCATGATGGATACAGTTCAAAATGTGAAATTGGGTCCTTATAGATAAATCGACCAGGATATCTGTGATTCTGGTTAATTAACAGCAATTGTAAAGGAATATTGAATTTTGAAAAAGCATGAATCAGGTAGCATCTGTTCAGCAATCAGCACCTTAACTAGTTCTTCTTTTGACTGAAAAAAAGTTTGATCCTCAGAGGAAAGTGTGAAAGTGGATGTTTACTTTTTATTACTTGTCAGGAGGTGCAAGAGTACGAGAGTTACCTCCACACCAGTTTTGTCGACAAGGTTTTGTGATAGCGAAAGCATCAGAAGCAGGGTTTGGGAATGAAATGTACAAGATTTTAACTGCAGCAGCATTGAGTGTTATACTAAACCGATCCTTGATCATCGGACAGACCAGGCATATAGATTCTCTCTCAAGCTGTGGTTTTCTTTCCATCAATGTCATTGTTCAGCTTTTATATTGTCTGTTATTTATCCTTAAATTTTGTAGGCATGATATGCACAATGAAGGGTCTGTTTTATTTGATCCCGACTTTAAGAGATCAGTTTCTCTGGCTGCATAATCTTTAACTTGTTAAGATATTTTAGCTGCGTGCTTATAGAACGATGAAATGAATAAGCCTAAAATGCTGGTATGCTATGCCTTAAACAGGTACCCTTTCGTTATTTTTTTTCTTTTCAGGGGCTCATATCCTTTTGGAGATTACATTTCATACTCGAATGTTGCATTTACTCTCACGGAAGTCAAGCATCTATGGAGAAAGAATGGGTGTACTGCAAAGTATGGAAGAGATCTGATCACAAGAATTGACAATTTTGAAGATCGTGCAAGAACAAATGTTCTTTGTAGTGATTGGAGATATTGGAAACAGCCCATCATCTGGTAAGTTGTAAAATCTCAAGTTACTGAATTTTCTACTGAGGAATTCAGCAAGAAATTGGATTGATTAAGCTTATTAGTATTGCTCATCATGTCAACTGTGCACCTAGATTCCTCGTCTTTCCTGAGAATTGGAGGATGGCTCCTTGTTTGCATGATCTTAAAATTACATAACTATGAAAATTCGGTCTACTTACTAAGTACTTAGTCATATTGCCTTTTAAATGACCAGGCCTCTCTTGCCAATTGTTTTCTTGGCTGAGAATTTCTCTTCAACCCATGGAGGTTGGAGTCAGTTCAACAGCTGGTTCTGAAATGTCAATTAATTTCTATGGAACTTTTGGACTTTATGATGTTCTCTGTAGTTGCCTGAATAAAGATGATGATGATGATGGTGATGATGTTATTACTCCTTGTCCTTTCGAATATCTCCTTTAGGAGCTTAAACGATATTGTGTTGAGAAGAGCTTTTGGAGGTTTATCTGATTGCAATCACCAAGTCACCATTGTTGCCGAAAGAGGAGCCCAATTTTGCTGATGTCACATCTCATGAAACTGCACTTGGACTAGTTTCCAATGTTTTAAATATCGGTTATCGGGAATATATCGGATGGCCAAATTCATATCGGATCCTAGTTATCGGGATATATTGGGGATAAGTAGTAAAAATCGGAGTGTAATATAGGATGGTGAGCATATATAATATAATGTCATAAAAAGTAATCTAAGCACATTTGATGAAATATAAACATACTAATATGTAAATAACACATGTTTAGGATCACTTACCAATTGTATTTGTTTAGTGGAAGCGAAATAGAATAGGATAGTATTGTTTTTGTTTAGTGTATGCGAGTCGAATATGGAAAAAAGAGGGTTTTTTGCCTCCGAATACAAACCAGTTCACTTAGAATGTAAATTGTAGAAAATCAGGTGATTTTAACCCATGAAAAATCGGCCGCTTTATCGGATTTACAGCAATATATCGGGAAAAATCGGCCCAAAACTATATGCGATATACTTTTGCAAAAATCGTATTGGCCATAGCCCAAACCCTATATATCGGGGATAAATCGATGAAATTGGCCTATATTTAAAACATTGCTACTTCCACAAAGTTATAGATGCCACGAGTCATACAATTAAGAGTCAGTTTTGATGCCGAGTGTTGTGCATTAATTAGGTGTTGGTTAAGAATGCTAGGAGTAGTATAATTAATCGTGAAACTCCTATATAAAGATTAGGCTGGACTATGGAAGGGAGGTTGAATTTTGAATTAATGAATGCGTCTTCTAGCTATTTTCTCTTCTATTCTCTTGAATGTTTATCCCTCCAACCCCCCTATTTTCTTCTGCTGATATATGAATGGCGGCAGTGTACTTGCTTAAAGTGAAAATTCCTCCGGTATAAACTTCAAAATCCCTATCCTTGTAAATTGTAATCTTATTACTCTAGGCTACATAAGCTTGTTGCTTAGGCACCTACTGTAACAATATCAACTTAAAATGATTGGAGGTCTGCACTAAGCTATTACTTCTCCAGGTTAGTTAAGGACTTGAGTGACAATCTGATTGGTATGTTCGGAATTTTTACTCATTTATATTCATGTACATTTATTTTTTAATCATGTTATGCATCTACTTATGTAAAGAGGGAAGGAATTTTTTTTTCCTCCCTGTGCTGTCAATCTAAACAAAAAAGTGATGTGGCATCTAATCTTTATTCCAATCACCCTAGATGTCTGCAGGCAACTGATCACAGTTGCTTTTTACTGAAAACCACATTTTGTCCTTTATTTTACCTTTTTCTTCTTAAAAATTCCTCTAACTAGCTAACTTCACCAAGATGCCTATAGATTTTGTAATTGGAAAATTGAAAAAATCTTCTTGATCTGATTTTGGGTTGCTCAGGTTACTTAAGGGTCTAAAGTAGGTTAATTCTGAGCTTCTGCTTGCACTTCAGAAATTCAAGCTAGAATTATTCTTAAACCTTATGGAAAAGAATTTATAAACGTTGGCAGATGTTGTTGTGGTGAAGAAACCATTCGAAGATTAGGAGGAAGTGAACATAATGATTAGGCCTTTGTGATGATGAGAGAAGAATCAGAAGATATTCAGAGTTCAGAGGTGCATTTATAAAAATTCTGTACTGTAATAATTGGTCAAAGAGTTCTGAGAATCTAGAAATAGAAAAAGTTCAAGGGAAAAAATTTGCAAGTAGTTTATTGAGGTTAGGAATAGGGAAAAACTTTACTACCATAAGTGAAGTCCTTCTCTTTCTTCAAAAACTGTTTCTGGTAATAATCTGTTACAAAATCTTATTGTGATCCTTGATAGAAAATAAAATACTTTCCAAGAAGTCATCTCAAACCTTTTGATTGCCGTACACAACCATTTAAGTTTTCCCTGATTATTAATGACATGATAATTAATATCCTTAGATGACTTTAATTTTCCTGTCCAGTTTCAAATTTGCATATGAACTACGAACTACAAATTAGGTTTTGTTTCTTCCACAAAGAAGTGAAGTTAATAGACTCCCGTGCATTCCTATGATGAAAGTAAAATAACTTCCTAAAAATAACTTAAAAAATGAATTTATCTAAACCCCTAGATGACTTCTGATCTTGCAGTATGACTCACTGACCCCCTGAGCGCTATTGCGGAACCGTAAGTGCAAATAAAATCTGAAAACTATTAAAGTTAAACCTTCAGTGAATTGGCCGGTTTTAGTAAATGGATTACATGGTCCCCTTGAGGCTTTGACCATCGTCCTCCATGCGTCCACCAAAGTTGGACCTGTTGAACTTATCCCTTGAACTTTACAAACTTCAAATCTGCATGATGCATGGTCTATGCTCAGTGAATTTTGCCACATTTCTTGGGAAAATCAACACCTTTTTCAGGCCTCACATAACACAGGCATATGGACATGCACTTATCCGTCTATGGATGATTCTTTTTTAATATATGCTTAATATTTGTCCGAATAATGTGAATTAAAAAACCAGCATATTGTTTAAGACAGGTTTCAAGGTGCAACAGATGCAGTTGCTATTCAGTTCTTCTTGAAGAATATACATCCTGGAATGAAAAATTCAGCTTCAGTTCTGCTTGGACATCCAGAATCTCTTCAATCCAGCCCCAATGTATTTGGGGAACTGATGCGGGTTATTATATCTCCTTCACAATCAATTCAGGAAGCTGTTACTTGGGTTTTGAAGGGTGGAGATCCTGATATCACATTGCACATGCGTATGTTGACAAACAGGTGAGGTATCTCAAACCGTTTCAACTATTTTCCACATGATTGTTGTTAATCATATGTGCTCTTGCATGTTTCAAGCTGTCTTTTAACAACTTTTATGATAGTTTTGTTAAAAGTATTTACTTACAATTTAATTTGCAAGTTTAAGCTTTCTTTTAAACTTATTAGAAATTTTGAACCATAAGATACACACATAAATGACTGCTTCCTTTCTGCCTTCAATTAGCTCATAAGTTATATGGTGCAAAGAAGAAAGTTCTACCTTCTTTCTGCCTTCTTCATGAAACACGAATACACAATTCTCTTTTTTCAGCTTATTAATTTTGTGCATGTTGTACCATCTGAAGTATTGTACCCATGCCGTGCGAAGGATATGAAAAAGGTCCTAAAATTATGTCCATGTCAAAATTACTAAGCCTTTATGCAGTTAAGTTTGTGTAGTGCTTTTAATGACATTAGCTACTAATGCTAGATATCAAGAAGCATTTGAGACATGCTTTCTCAAGTCAATTAATTAACTCAAGTGTCTGGCTTGTTGTTAGGTCCATACGAGCAATGCAAGCAGCACTTCAATGTGTTAAGAAAGCACTTAATAGCTATCAACAAGAAGCTACAAGACCAAGGATTGCTTTGGTTTCCGATACACCTTCATTTATCAAGGAGATCTCACCGAACTTGGCTGAATTTGCAGAGGTATATTGATTGAGCTCACGAAATCTAAAAAATCATTCTGATGCATAACATATCTTCTTATCTTCAAATGCACAGTAAGTACTAGAATAAATATCTACCTATGGGGATTCTCCCTTTTTGATTTCTTGCTTCCATTACCAAAAGTCAACAGCTGCTTTTTCTCATCTTACAATATTCTTTTTTTCCCTTGAAAAGGTTGTTTCTTTTAATTACAAGTCATTTGCGGGCAAAATTTCTGGGGGGAACATGAAGAAAGAACATCAGGTATGTCTTTAAAATATGTTCATTTGTGCTTGAGCATAGTGTGTTGTCTGAAATACCTTTTCTCTTTTACATTAGGTCTTTTTATGGATATCACTAAATATAATAAGCAAGTGTGGTTTGCTAGGGCGTTTCCTTTTATGGATATCACTAAATATAATAAGCAAGAGTGCTTATGAGAGTATAGTTATTTGGATATATAATAAGCAAGAGTGCTTATGAGAGTATAGTTATTTGGAGACGTCTAGGAATCCCCCAGCCCCTTCGCACTTGCCAGTTTTCTGCATGCTTCATACACGAGAGAGTAGGAGTTCATGCTATGTCTAAGTTTATCCTTAGTATAAAGTACAAAATAAAAGGTGATGTCATGATCTGAAACATGCAAAATAGAAGTGGCATTAGTTATCTTGTCATAATATCCATGTTTTAGCCAGTAAAAGAAAAAAAATTAAATTTTAGGTTCCGAAAAAAATAGTACCATCTTCTTTATTTATTTAGCTGTCTTTGTGGTAAAGTTACAGGGAAATTGTCAAAATGGACACCGCATTTCGTTCTTAAGCAATAAGGATTTTACACCTATTAATTGGAAAAGGGCTATCCTTATACTATGCCTGTTGATTGTTGGTTGTCTTGCCCCAAGAACCATCATCATCTTCAAACTCTGTTTGGTGTAGAGGGGAAGTGGAAGTTGGTGAGGTGAGATCGAGGTATGTTTTTCTGAAAAGAAGCAAAAACATATACCCTTGCGTTATTTACCATAAAACACTTTATTAGATTTTCTATTGCCCTTTGCAACCCTATCCTTACCTTATGTACTACAATGATTTACACAGCAGGTAGTTTAGAAAATTAAATGAATTTTTCACAGGGAACCACCCCTAAATTAGGCCCCATATCATGTTAGGCCCCATATCACGTTATCCTTCTTAATTGCCCGAGTTTCAAAACAACATCCCTATGGGCTATTTCATCAATCAAGGTGGTTATATGTTGACACATAGGGATGGTGTTTGGAAATTTGGGTAAGCAAGGGGTGGTAATGTGAAATGGGGTCATTTTAGTGCTTTTCATCTTTTTTGCATGTCAAACAATCGGCATAATTGATTTTTCATTAATATTAACAAAGAAATTGGGCATAAGTGGGAATATGTGATTATCTTTTGAAGAATGGCACATAGGGGTGGTATTTTGGAGCTCGAATAATTAAGGATTGTCATGGGACGGGATCTAATTTAGGGGAAGCTCCCTGTAAAAAAAAACCAACTATGATTGCCAAAGCCTGATGGGTAAATAGATCTTTTACCTTATAGGGTAAATGGTTTGAAGTTTTAAAAATTAAATGTTTCTTGAACTTGTTCCCTACCCCTCAGATCTGTACTTATTTTCATTAGTATCATTTGTATTAGTTATTGTTGTTGCCCCTGCTGCTTCTGTTGTTATAACCATTGTTGTCGTCATCGTTATTATTACTGCTGCTGCTACTGTTTTTGTTTACTTTCTTTTCTCTTTGGTGCGGAGGGGCTCTATCTCGACAGGCACTTTTGATGCCTCTGATAAAACTTCTGTATGTAAAGAAGGCATTATGGCACACACTTTTTTTAGCCACATAACTTACAAATCCTATGTTGAAGTTCAATTGTTTTTCATGGGCATGCTATCCATTAGTGTAAAAGAGGAGTAAAATTTCCAAACTGGCACACACTTTTCTTAAAGATTATAATAGCATTATGTGGCATTTTCAATGACTGGCGCAATATATAACAAACTTTACCCTAAAATTGTTTCATTGTTTTTAATGTGACCCAAAAGCTAAGAAATAGGAGAACCAGGTCTAATTTTGCTTCATGTTTCTACCTAATTTTTTCCTGCAGAAACTTCGATACCCAAATTAATCGTGGTTTTTATATTCTATTTCAGTCTGTAGGTTTTAGAGCAAAGGATTGGGGACCTGCACCAAGATGGGTTGCATTTGTAGATTTCTTTTTTGCATCACATGCTAAGCACGCTGTTATTTCTGGAGCCAACCGTCGTGTTGGGACAACATATGCCCAGCTTATTGCCGCACTTGCTGCAGCCAACAGACATGGTAGATTTATGGCCTTTTCTCCTTTGGACTAATTCCCACACAATAAATAGCCATACTAATGAAATTATGTAATTATTGAAAAACACTTGAGTTATCTATGAACCATCCACATAGAAATTACAAAAGAAAAAAGTGATTCTCCCCCAATATTTGCATATTTTTAAATACTTTTGTGCTGTAATATGTGAGATGGACAAAATTGTCTCCTTTATTTGATGAGAAGAGGTTTATTCATTCTCACGAATTCAATTCAGATCCATCAGAAAGAACTTTAGCCTGTATTTTAATATTTGGACCTTAAAATATCCTTTGAAAAATTCCTTTTTTCCCTGCACTACAGTTACTTTATCAAAAGTTTTTCAAATTAAATATCATGTTTGTAAACTAGAAGCAGAAAATTTTGCATTTTGGATGTATATTTTTCTTTCCCATCGGTCCTGCATATATTCTTTGAAAAATTCCTTTCGTTTCTCTCGCACGGTTGAGTTTTGCTTACAATTACTTTATCGCATGTTATTCAAACTAAATGTCATGTTCGTAAACTATAAGCAGAAAATTTTGTAATTTGGATGTATATTTTTCTTTCCCATCTTTGAAAGCCACATACATAAACTTACATCTTTTCTATGTTTCATGTCATATTGCTGGACATTTCCCACCAATTGCCAGTTATTATCCACAAAATCTCTTACTCAGCTGAAAGTTTTCTTACATCAGTCATGTCAGTACAATTTGGGAAAATAATAATATTATATAATTAATGGAGCAAAGATGACTAAATGCTGGCATTAAAATAACTTGGTTGGAAGCTGTTAAGAGCCTAAGAGGTATATGATTTTAAGTGGATTAACTTAGTTCAAGAGGACTGAACAGAACTGAATGGAAGAGTAGGATTCATGTAATTGCCTCTAAAAATTTGTCCAAATTCTTTGCTATTTTTAATCATGTTTAATGACAATGTCTCTCTTGCAGGAGAGAATCCTCTACCCTCCAATTTCTCTTTCCTCAGTAGCTTTCAAAGCAACCTACTAGTCAATGGCCTTGCTACTCAGATTGGATGGGGCCACGCCTGGAACCGGTTTGCAGGCCCGCTGAGCTGTCGTCACCAGCACCACCAGTGTGCCCTTACGCCACTCCTCCCTCCAGGATGGTGGGATGGAGAATGGCAGAGCCCTATTTCCCGCAATATTCAAAAGTTGCAGGGTTATGGCGTTAATTTGACTCTTGATGGTAAAGTTGATGAGAGCAGTCTTCAGTCTTATTGTAGATCAAGGAAGGATCATGTTAAAACTATGGGTTTGATTGGATTATAGATATATGCTAATTTCAGTCATTTTCAAAGTGAAAGTTTGGAGCATACTGTACATGAGTGTATCATGTGTATCAGGCCCTGTATATTAATAGTGGAGCTTGCAAGAGATATGTCGATTTTTTTGTAAAGTAGGTGATATTGGTTTGTAATTGCTAGAATATTGCATGTAACATAGCTATTTGGACCGTTAAAATCTGAAGAAGTTTCAGCAGCAGAGGGGCAGGATTTTGTATATGGATAGTGTTGGAAGTGTTATTTATTCTGCTTTTATTCGTTTTCTTCATTTTAGGGGGATATCTTGTTTTGTTGATATTGGCCTTACTTTTGTGTAGCATATTTGATCATATTTCTCAACCTAATTTCAGGTCTTTTTGTTGATAAGGGCGGTTCTGGATTGATTGGATTATAGATATATGCATGATTTGTTTAGTTTTGACTGAAAGAAAATCCAACCCTAAAGTTTTGGAGCATATTTGTGTTGTATCATGTATATCATGTTTTCTATATTAGTTTGAGACTGAGTCATTGTACACCATTTTGTATAGCTTGTAGAGAGCTTGAAAGGCATGTTGAGTTCTTCCCCACCCCCACCCCCTCTCGATTTATCTATCTACCTTTTTTTTTTGCTGCGCCCTTTCTGGTCAAGCATGGTATTGGTCTGAATTGGCAAGGATATTGCATGTGAGATGCTTATTTGGGGGACAATGGGGAATAATGGCTTTCGTAGGTTAAGATTTGCAACAACTTTTTTATTGTTTGACCAGTACGATTAGTTTACTTATTTTTTTTCGGGACAATATTATTCTTAGTCGATATTTGTAGGCGTTAAAAATTACCTATAGGTCCCAAACACAGCTCAAGACGGAGAGAATACAAAGAACATCATCATCTAAGCCAAACACAGCTCAAGACGGAGAGAATACAAAGAACGTCATCATCTAAGTCAGAGAAGACTAGCCAATGCAGAAGGAAGCAAAGGAGTACGCAAAATGACTCAGAAAAGAACTCGGAGCTGTCTCACAGTTGGTGAGACAGCATCCACTGTCTCGTGTATCCGAGACAGAGACAGTAAGAACCGTCTCTCTAACTTTGAGACAGCCTCTCGAGTTTTCTGATAGTTTTGTGATCTTTTGCGGGGACCACGTGACTCCATAACTGTGGGAAAACATTCATTAACGTTAATGGACGGTTATAGCCGTGAAATATGCCCACTACCGACGAAAATTATGGCATTTAACGCAATTTAAGTAGTGGGACGGCGGTTACAAACTGCCTGGAACTGCCTTCTTTAGTCGAGAGTAAACATTGTCTCGCCCAAAGGAGGTAGTGATCGTCGGTTATTTTAACTTCTTTTTGACGGTTACGGCTTCCAATAGCTATAAATACCGCTTGACACACTTGTACACGGGGTCCGAACAGAGGGGAATTATCAAGGCAGAGAGACGAGCATTTGGCGAACTTTGAGAGCAAGAGAGAGTTATTCATCCACTTTCAAGCATCCTCAAAGCCTTCTGGTGTTTCCTTGAGTTCAAATTTAGATTTGATCTCGAGAAGAGTGTTCATCTTAATTTGCTAAGATATTCACTTCAGTTCTTGTTTCCACGTCGAAACATCAACTTTTAACCTTCTTCGTTTCCGACTTGGAACGTTGATTCGTGGTCCACGGATAACGCATCCCCGACACAGGCAAAGATCACACGCAAGCAGAGGTTTCTACGTAGGAGTTTCTGTGTGTGTTTCTAGGGAGCACAACAATTTTGTTTCTTTGTAAAGAAGAGTTATACACGTGTAAGCTCATTCATTTGTTTCTATTAAAACGTTTTAATGGAAGCAACAAAGAAATTGTTCCCGACGCAAACACGCTGACGACCACAGTGGGAGATAACAGTCTCGGTATCGAGACTAGAGTGTCGCAGACGATCAAGATTCTGGTCGATTCAACGGTCGAATACGAGTTCGACCAACCAAAGTTCGAGAAGTACTTTTCCTCGTCTTCATCAAAGTCTTCCTCCTCCCACAAGTGCAGGAATATCTCATCTTCGAAGAAGGTGTTTCAGTTTTCAGCACTAATGAAGGCTCAGGGTGACTCTCGCCTAATAGTTGTTGAGGCTTCCCCTCGTAACACTATTCCGGCAACCAACAAAGTCGGAAGCTCTGCTCACAACGACTCCTCCCCAGTTAAGGAGTTGTTCGACCAAAGTTCGCCAACTCTGACGAATAGGACTCGTCAGAGACAACACCAACGCCAGGCTCATCGATTTGCTAAGGCTTTGGAACAAGTTGATAGAGTTCGCTACTATGCGTACTTAGAGTCAAGGAAGCGTCGAGCAATCCAACAGCTTCAACAGCGCGTCACTGACACTTCCTCCAATCCATCAACCGAGGAATGAGTTCTCATCAAAAGGACTTGTTCAACGAAGAAGGAGCGCATCCAAAAGTAACGCACACATGCCGCACACGCTCGTGCTCTTGTGCGAAAGGCACAATAATTGAAGAAGAAAGTGTTGGCCCTATAGTTTTGATGATGATTTGTCAAACAATTTATCGCTAATCCATTCTCTAGTTTTTTGTTGTTTATTTATCGCTAATCCATTCTCTAGTTTTTTGTTGTTTTGTTTTTCTCTTTACAGGTAATTCAACACACGATAATCAAGCGTTAAAGATTCAAGTTCATGTGTGTGCATTCACCTAGGTATAAGTTTAGTTTGCTTACATATATCGTATGTTTATATGTAAGCTCAATATATGTACATTTAACACAATTTTGACGTTTTCTATCAAATAAATGATTTTTCGTCAAACTTTGATACAATAGTTTTTATTTCATGTTTACAGCTCATTCACACTTCTTTATATATATATAATATATGCATGTTACATAGATACGTTTTAACAAATCATATCTCAATTTTTATGTTCACGAAAATACAGGTTTTCTGAACACTTTTTAAAAACAGGGAGTTTTCACAAAAAAAAATTGATTTTTTAAAAATTCCTTTTCAAACATGTTTATTTCATCATTTAGAAACTTTTTCCAAAGTTTTACCATTTTTGGAATTGATTTGATATTTTTAATGTATTTTCAAAATCAGCCCAAAACCTGTCATATGCCATGTATCAGTTTGCGGTCGACCGCCACGGTCGACCGCCAGCAGCAAACTTTCTTACTATGGCTCTTTTGTGCTCGCGGGCGACCCTGATGGTCGACCGTGAATCCATCCAGAGACCTTCGCAGTCGACCGCCACGGTCGACCACCAGCTTTCAAACCCAATTCTTAGCTTTTTCTCCACCCCCCCCCCCCCCCCCGCCGATCTCATCATTGCCTTTTAACGGCTATTTTCTGCAACGGCTGTCTGAGGCTATTTTAGTCTTTTCAAGTTGGATTTGGCTGATATTTTGAGTGGGTATAAATACCCCATTGCTGCTCTATTTCAATAACCAAGTTTTGTTTTAACAAAATCCTAAATGTGTTTAAAAGAGCTGTTTAAGCTGTTTCTAATCATCTGTTTTAAAAGAAGTCTGCTACAACAAGAAGAGACCTTTCATTTCAACTGAGGATCCTGTCCTCATCATCCTCTACTGTTCTTCTTGTTTATTGAGAAGTTTTCTTAACTCATCTTTTCATATAGCTTATAATTTCATTTTCATATCTTAGCTATAGTTATTTAGTTACATTTTTTTTTTTACTGTTATCACACACACAATATTGAGCTTAATATCTTCATACTATATAGTGTGGGTTGTGGGGTGTGATTTAGTGAGTGTGAGCTTCATTTGTGTTCTCATTTGTTGTTTAGAACAAACCATTGTATTTAATCTTTATTGGTGAGTATCACTTATAATACACTTGTATACCGAGAGAAGTGCGAGGCGAGAGACGGGGTCGAATCCAATAGGAGTGGCGTCGGTTGACGAACCTAGGGAGAGGTTGCATCCGAGCACTTGAGGCGGAGGACACGGGCTAGATTCCTACACTTAGTGTGTAAAGTGTGATTGCATAGTGTTTGTTGTGTGAGAGTTTTCGGTAAGCTTGTAAACCGAGTGTGTAGAAGTTTCGGCTTCCAAACCGGATTGTGATAGTGGAGATCCCCTCGAGGTGTAGAGCGAGGACGTAGGTCGTGGTGACCGAACCTCGTAAACATATCATTTGTTTGAGTTTTGCTTAGCGTACATTTTATTTGTGTTTTTTTCATATCATTCTTGCAAGAACAAATTAATCAATATAATTTTAATTGGCATTTAATCGGGATTAGATTAGCATAAGACCCTAATCACCCCCCCCCCCCCCC